GGGGGGTGCCCGCGACGGGGATGGGGAAGGCAGAGAGAAAAATGAGAAGAAGTTAATTTTTTTTATTCAGCCACAGAGCAGTGGAGTAACAGGAAAATCATAAGCGGTTGAGGATATTTTTTACTCCTATAACACCGATTAGGGATAGGCTATGTATCGGTTAAAGGTGTAAAACCGGATTTTTAATTCTCTAACTAGTTATAGAGGATCCGTGAGAGTTGCCCTGAAGAACAATGCAGGTGCTAGTAGTACTCCCTTCGTCCAGAAATACTTGTCCTTAAAATGGTTGTATCTAGACTTATTTTAGTTATAGATACATTCATTTTATCTAATTCAAGGACAAGTATTTCCAGACGGAGGGAGTACCATCTAGCAGTACGGGGCATGAACCATCCGGGTCGAAATTTGGTCCTAGTGTTGTACTCATGCTTCTTTCTTATAGGAGTACTCTTCTTATAGTAATTAACACTGTCTTCACAACTGAATTTTCTCTTGTGTTGTTTCAGAGTCTCGGACATTTGATCACCTGTTTTCCTGTGGAAGCACGCCCGGCCTGTCCTCATCTCATGTAGCTTTTCAGCATTTCAATAGTATATAATTACCTCCGTTCGCAAATACTCAGACGTGGTTTTAGTAGGGAGCGACTTGAAAGTGGCTGCACTTTCAATCTGCTTTTCCATATTAGCAAAGTAAATATCCGGAAGTCATAACTAAAAACCAGTACTAGCTTGTACTACTACTACTACTACATGTAAGCATCCATGGCCGCTCAAAGTTGAACGCCCGTTGCAACTGTTGGAGAACTTGAGTCAATCAACAGGGCTGATAGGATAGCAAGTCAATGGTTTTTCGTGAGAGAAAAGGGTAGGAACTTTCCTATCATTGCCAAATTTGACAGGCTACTGGCTCCCAAAAAACAAAAACAAAAGAAATTGACAGGTTACTATCTTAGCGACACAACCGATTTGCGTGTGTATCCATTTGCAATGAATGCGGTGATTGGTGCGAGTGCAATCCATCTCCGAAACAAAAAAGATGAGATTCTAGATAGAGGCCGAGGAGGGGAGAACAAAAACCGCGGCGATGATCCAAACACGTCCTTTTTCCGTTTGTAACTGGAACCAAACACGGCCTCCTCCACACAACAACAACAACAACAACCCGCCAGAGCGAACGCAGCAACCCGATGGCGTGACCGAGGCGTGGAACGCATGGTCCATGCATGGCGACAGGGCCGGCCCTGAGGGGGTGGCAGGGGGGCGGCCGCCCAGGGCCCCCGAAATCTAGGGGCCCCCTCCAGGGTTCGCAAGGAGCCCATGGCCCAGACCATAAGGAGGCATCGACCTAGACGCACGGAGAAATCTCTGTTTTCCTTTTTCCCATCGCGAGTTCGCCGCTTCGCGACGATCCTATTTCCCCAAGGGCCCCGATCGCGAGTCGCGACGCCGATGTAGATTGCTCTCTGCCATGCGGCCGACTGTTCTTCCTCCAGGTCCCCGGTCCCGTTGTGTTATCCCCCGTTCGTGAGATGCCTCTCATGTGCAAGACGAAGCCACCCCACTTATAAGGTCATCCCTAACCTCCTCTTTCTAGTTGGTCACGTTCATATGGTGCAACAGCAGCCAGATCTTAGAAGGTCTCGCATATGATGCAGTACAAAATTTTAATTTTATATGCCCGTTGCTCTATTTCTTACTTCAATCTGGACTTTGTCGGCACAACACCAATCGCCTTATCTATTGAAAAAGTTGCCTGCTATGTGTTTGACTGTCGTTCTTTGCATTCTCTCTCCAAATCATCATGATTGCAAATTTAACTTAAAAATTGGAAGAAGGTCTCAGTTATACACACATAACTTCAATCCAGACATGGTTATATAATAAATCCACTCAGACTCCCGTAGTCGTCGGGTAGGTAAATGATCTTTTATTGTTGCAAATGAAGCTTTTAAACTTTAAACCTTTCATCTTGATGTTTGCCCTCTATCAGGTATTCGATTTGTCTAATTAAGTAAAGGAATACACTACTTACAATTTTTGTTTTATTTTGAAACAATAGACAATAATAAGTTAGGTAAAGGAATGAATCTAAAAAAAATGAGATTATTATTTTGATCTTTATAGTAGGGGCCCGGGTTGTAATTTCGCCATGGGCCCTCGAAATATCAGGACCGGCCCTGCATGGCGATGAGCCAGCCAGCGTGCAGCCAGCGGCCGATGGAGCAGGGCCACTGCCATGTCATCCTATCCGTGAGGCCCAAGGAAAACACGCCGGAGGGAACAGTGCTAATTATGAGCGGGAGATGGGGGCACGTATGCAGGACGGTGACTCTGCGAGCGTCGCCGTCGACGTGCTGGACCGGACGGAACGGAACGGAAACCTGCCGGAACTTGCTTCTCGTCTTGTCTCGAGCTTTTCTTTGCTATCGCTTGCGGTCTCAAGACAAGAGGATGGATAGGCGAGAGACGTGGCTCTTGTGGTACTGGTCTACGTGACGGGGATGCGTACGTGTACACGGCACAGCTGGCCCGTGTGTGGGCATGTCCAGGTCAATCGTACAGGCGGATCGCGTACGCAGGACAAGAACATTTATGAGAGCCACCCGTACTTACTGTAGACCAAAGCTGATATACGAGTACATGAGAGACTCTCGCCTGGCCTGACGAGCATATTCGGCTGGTTTACACCGGATGCATGCAGCCGGTGGTGCTCTAGCTAAGCTCCGGCTGCCCATACGCCATGCGGTTATTTCCATTATTAGAACACAAAAAAATCACAGGCCCAGAACGAATTCCATTCTCGATCGGCTGTTAAACTAACCAATTTTGATTTGTTGACCCGCAAAAAAAGGAGAACAATTTGATTTGTCAATGTCACCAAGAGGTAAAACACACGTCAACAACAACAACGACAACAACTCTACTTGCTTCTGCAGCACGCAGGTTTTGTAATCATAAACACTAGCTCCTAATTTGCTCCAACGTTGTCAGCTGCAGCAGCGACATGTCATACCTTCAATCTGTATACCCTACTCATGCAAGCAAGCATGCAAATTACTCCTACAAAAAAAACAATATAGATGAGTATGTTACCAGAAGATCCGTAGCAACTTCTCTTGTCATTTCCATAGGAAGGTGTTTTAGAACATTGATAAACAGAGCTACATGATGCTCGACTCCTTTCCTATTGCGCACGCAATGTTAAAATTACATGGTTTTTGTATCGAGAGAAATTACCAAGTTCCTTCTAGATTTGTGAAATAGTTTAAGATGACGATGAAGTGTATATTGTCCCGTATGGTGCACGGTGGCACTGCAGAGGCACAACTAATGCACTTGACATGGTATAGAACATGCTTCCACGAATGTCTATCCTCGATGAACAAAATGTCTCTTTTCTGCATTCGCACGTCTTCTATTGCACCATCCTTACACTCTTGTCGTTGCACCCGCCTCGCTCTCCCAGCTACCACACGTGGCGCTTCACTGTATCACAAAGTTATCAACCCTTCGATCAACCATTGCTGTAACAAACTTAGGATTATCATCTCACTATCACTTTTTAACGGTTGCCCTCAGACAGTGAATGGCTGCAATCGCCACTTTCCACCATGATTAACATCCGATGGACCATTTGATACATGTCGAATCATGCTCAACCGTAAACCTAAACGGCCGAACAAGGGTGCGTCGATGAACGTAACGACGAGTAAAGAGATAAGAATAGCTTGCAATGCTACAATCAGTTGCACTATCCAGGAGGCGTTATCTTTCATTATTTAACCGTTCCATCAAAATAGACCACAAAACCAACGGTAGCGACAACTTCATCTTTGCTCCTTCCTCTCATCCATACATGCCCCCTTCACGGTTAGACACACCCACAAACATCCAAGCACCGATATTTCCTTTAAAAACATATAAATGTATTTTATGAGAACTACATTAAAGAACAAGAAAATGCCAATAAGCCTAGCCACCTTGCCAATCACCACTCTCCTAGTCATCATCATCATCCATCACCTCTCTCTTACCAACTGCTCTACTGCCAATAGAGAACAAAATCCTCAACCTCTTCTATAGATTCTCTCTCCTATTAAAATAAATAAATTTAAAAAACCACCATAAATGAGAAAATAATAAGAGGGAGACCTTCCCTTCTTCTCCTCCGGCCTAACCCACCCCACCCCACCCCCTCCCCCTGTCCTCCAAGCATCCACCGTCCCGGCCAAA